ACGCATTGACTATGTTGGAGTACCGCTACATTGGAACTACTCGTCTTGCATGGCTTGGGTCAGTGAGATTGTTGACCCCACTATGCTGAGGGCTGATCATGCTGCAGTCTGTGTTGAAGCCAGGTTTGAGCTGGCACGACCAGTCAGTGGATTTACAGCCGATCGGCATGCGGCGCAGCGCATTCATGTTGAGCCCGCTCAGCTGAATTGGCAAGGGTTGGAAGTTCCTGCAACATGCAGCTTTGAGTTGGACATCCACTCGCATTATCAACAGCTACAAGATGCCCTGATTGACCATTTGAAGCCTCAACAAGTTGAGAATCAACGTAAACCGTTGAAGACCACCATTTCCGAGTCAACATGGACGCTTGTGTGCGAGAAGCGGCAATGGCGCTCTACGCTGGCAGACCATGCTCGTGTTCAGAAGAAGACCATCCTTGAGATGTATTTTGGGCGGTGGAAGCATCGTAATCATGATGACCATGCAGGTTTCCATGAACTTCTTGGGCAGCAAGACCGCCTGATCGCTCATGCGTGGCTTCAGTTTCGGCAATATGGTCGGCTTGTGACGCAGGCCCTCAGGCACGATGACAAGACCTTCTTTGCGAACCTTTTGCAAGACGGTGCTGAGTTTTTGGAGCCCAAAGATGTGAAGAAATTATGGGCAGTCATTCGAAGGTCTCTGCCGAAATTCAGAAACCGACGGGTTGGCTACAGTCCTTACAAGCTAGCCCATTTAGAAGAACAGAGCGCTCGCCACTTCGAGCAACTGGAAATTGGAATACCAGCCTCAGCGGCAGGTCTGGTTGCCAAATGTGTGCAAGACCAAGCCCGGGCTGCCCACCAGGATTTGCCGGCTTGTGTCTCCATTGAAAGTTTGCCAACCCTTCCAGAAGTTGAAGATGCACTACGTGCGACCTGTGCAGACCGTGCCACTGGTTTTGACGCAGTTCCATCGGGCGTGTATCACCGGCACGCCGCCTTCCTTGGGCGCTACTTTTACCAGGTCGTGCTCAAAATGTTTGTTTGGGGAACCGAACCGGTACAAGGGAAGGGAGGATTTCTCAAGATGATTCCAAAAAAATTGGGTGCCGTTGAAGCGAAGCATTTTCGTGGCATTCTCCTCCTGCCCACGCTTGCCAAAAGAGTCCACGCCATAGCACGTGCTCGCTTGATGCGACAGGCCAGTGCTCAGCGCGATCCTGCGCAACTTGGTGGCTTTGCCGGGCAGCAAGTCTCTTTTGGCTCGCAGTCTCTACGTGCACTTACCAATGTCTTCACTGCCAAAAGTATGAGTTCGGCCATTCTCTATGTCGATTTGGCGACAGCGTTTCATCATTTGGTTAGACAGCTTGTCACGGGCATTGGGTCACCAGCGGATTGGGATGTTGTTCTTATGAGTTTGGCCTCAGCTAAGTCACCAGCTGCAGCAAAAGAGGTTGGGGATCAGCTGATTGGAGTCATGGATAAGCTCCACATTGACCCTGTGCTGATGCGGCTCCTGCGTGACATTCATGAGAGCACATGGTACTCTTTGTCGGGTTGCGATCTTGTTCACACCTTTCGAGGCACTAGGCCTGGCTCACCCTTGGCGGACGCCATTTTTCATTTATTGATGGCCGAGGTGGCGACAGATCTGAGAGTGTGGATTAGCCAGCACCCAGAGCTTGCGACAGTTTTCCAACAACTTGGGGTTGATCCCATTTTCGTCATTTGGTCAGATGATTTTGCTATTCCTGTTGCTTCGCCGTCTGCCCTGACGTTGATTGATTTGGTTGCAGAACTCACCCAAAAGGTCCATGAGCTGTTTACTGCGCGTGGTTTCACGATCAACTTTGACAAGGGGAAGACGAGCGCAGTGCTCACCTTTGTTGGCCCGCATGCACCTGAAATGAGGAAACTGCATTTACTAGGTGATCAGAAAGGGATGCAGATTGTTTTGGCAGATGGTCAGACGGCTTGGCTTCATTTCATGGTGACGTACAAGCATTTGGGAACCCTTTTTGCCTCAAGCCATTCATTTGAGCCGGAACTGCGACAGCGGATTGGCACAGCCCAAGCTGCCTTTCAGACGGTCTTCCGGGCTGTGCTAGGCAATCGGCATTATCCATTGACTTTGCGCTTGCGATTTTTTCAGTCTCTGGTGTGCTCTAAACTCTTCTTTGGGATTGGAGCATGGGCTACGCCCACACTCCAGCAGATGGACAAACTGCGCAAAGTGTACCACACCATGCTGAGGAAGATCTATAAACACTCAGATGAGGAACACCTTAGCAATGCGCAGCTTCTCCATGCCACGCAAGCCTTGGATGTCAGAGTACGCTTGGCTATTGATCGACTTTCCTATGCCCAAAGGCTATTTCAGGTTGGCCCTGAGTTTCTTCAGCAGTTGGTTCACCTGGAGTTTCAGCATTGTAAGGACTCCTCATGGTTGACAGGGCTCTATGCGGATTTGAGCTGGTTGCGGCAAACCCTCCCCAATGACCTGCCATTTGATGACCGTGAAGATCTGACTCAGCTCATTGATTATTGGCAAGCAGGCCCTCAGCAGTGGAAGCGTTCATTGCGGAAGGCAGTGCGTCGACATCGACTGCAAGAGGAGATCATGCTGGATGCCAAATGCTTTCATCGTTGCATTTTCAATGGATTGAAGGCAGGAGGGGCTTCTTTCATACCTGACTTCAATGGACTTTTTGCTGCAGAACGACATGAACTACATGTATGTGAATGTGGACGCGCCTTTACGTCGAGCCAAGGCCTTGCCCTACACAAGCGGAAGAGCCATGGACTCCATGCGCAGGAGCACGAGTTCGTCACGGGGGCCACTTGTCCAGCATGTCTTCGATACTTTTGGACAAGCAATCGGCTGGCCCTACACCTGGCGTACATGCCAAGAGGCGGTGGGGTAAATGAGTGTTTTAATGCACTAACCAAGGCTCAGTTTGTAGGAGGGTTCCAATCACAAACCTTGCCTAGCACACATGCTCATGCCGTGCGCCTGGATGCTCTCCAAGCGGAAGGGCCGCCCATGCCCATGGACGATGCACGTTTGCAGATGCTAGCGGCAGTGGAGGCTGAGATCGCCGAGCTGGAAGAGTTGATGCAATGCTTTGAGCGACCGGAAGGGCATCTGGAAGCTGGTTTACATTTGGGTGATGTTCTGACTGCATACACAAAGAACTGGATCCGGCAGAAGCAGCTGCATGGCGAGGTTGTGACCATGGACCTCGCCGATGGTTGGATTCGGCTCCTTGATGTGCATGGACAGGACTTTGATGAGTGGGCGGCGTTTGTTTTTCAGCAGTGGGGTGAGCACATTCTGCCTGATATCAGCGCTGGTCTGCTTGATGGTGAGATTGAATACCTCTTGGACGAGCAATTTGCTGACACGGCAGAGCTCTTCCCACGCACAGAGCGGCTGAGAAGATTGGCCCGCGCACGGGTCCGGCATGACCAGCTCTCTGCCGAGCTTCAGCAACCAGATCGTCCACACCGCCCTATCCGACTTGGCACAGCCAACGGTCGTGAACGTGTCACCACAAGACAGCGGGTGCCGAGTGCTTTCCATGAGCAAGTCCAATGGCATGACGCATTGCGCACTATGCGATGGGACTCGATGCCGAGCTGCCGCACCATCCCAACAATTTCAAGTCTTGACGCCGCAAATGATAAACCCTGCCTCCTTGTAGTTCACCTTTTTTCGGGCCGACGGCGCGAAGGAGACCTACATTGGCAGTTACAAGAACTAGCTGAAGGCCTGAAGGTCAATTTCGTGGTGCTGTCCATGGACACTGCTGTGTCGCCTTGGTATGGTGACCTTTGGCACTCCTCCACGGCATGGCGACAACTGGAGCAATGCTATGTCCACGGACTTGTGGCATTGACCATGGTTGGATCACCCTGTGAGACCTATTCAGAAGCTAGATTCACACCGCCCCCCGGGAGAAGCCGCCAAATGGCCGAGGCCATTGCGCTCAATGGATTGGTTTTATGGTTTGCCAGACCTTACCAACCGTGAGCTCAAGCAGGTCCACACAGGCACCAACTTTTGGCTACAAGGACTTCGAGCCCTTGGTTGTCATGTGACGCATGGGGGTCTCTTCCTGAGTGAGCACCCAGGGATGCCCAAAGACCCCGAGCGACCCACTACCTGGAGGGCCCCATTGACGGAACTTTTCCGCCAGCATCCGGACATCCATTTGAGCCACATTGGGCAGTGGCAATGGGGCGCTGAAGCGGTTAAGCCTACGGGTTTACTTGCGCACCGCCTTCCTCGTCTGCTGCAGTCCCTATATGCCTGCAGTCTTCCTGATGCAGTTCGGCCGACGACTGCAGCTATTGGTAAAGCGGCTGACGGAGAATTCCGAACATCCAGGCTCAAGGAGTACCCCACGGCTCTATCACGAGCGATTGCTGTGGCCTTTTGTGACCAACTTCGCAGTGAGATTAGCGCTGGGCACCTTGCTGAGGTCAAACCTTGGCGTTCTATTCCTAATGGGCCTGCACTGAGGGATTGGATTCAGGCAACGGCCACTGCCAGTGCACAGATCCGGCAGAATGCAACCGCCTTACCTGACTATCAACCCCGGTAGCTTTTAGCCTTATGGCAATTTTCAGACATCCATATGTCGACTTTTCCTAATTCGAGAGCTATGCATATCGCAGCAAGGCGGACAGCCTTTTGAGCATGGAAATGGAAATGGAAAAAAATGTCACCAGCAACTCCTAACCCTTTGGGTGTCTGTTCATCGGAAAATGATGATGGACCAGAGGATGGACTGGGCGATCATAGCATCTTTAGTGTTTGGTTCCACCTTAAAATGTTCAGCCTCCAGGTCTATTCATTCTGGCAACCAAACACGGCTAGTTGGAAAAATAAACCATTCATAGATGATGTTCCCATTAAAATCTCCATTTACTTCGTGACTTCCCAGCCGGCCATGTGAAAAAAACCAGCCGGATCTCCTGTCTCCTGTCTGGCAATTACATCGCCGAGTCACATGTGGAGGTCCGGCGCAATGGCATTAAACAAATAAGTGGCATAGCTGTCTTCTGCCAGATCCACCTGATCCAGGATTCCGTGAGAGAATGGCTATTGAAAAATCACCATTCACCACAGGGATATCAAGAGATGTCAGGACTGCACAGGGAGACTAGAAAGATGGCTAAGTTGTGTTTTTTCAGAAGTTGAAAGTCGTTGGAAGTCCTCCATTGATGCATAGAAAGTTGTCACTATGTCATTATGTCATTATGTACTGTACCTGGATTCAGTTTACTTCAAACATCACTGGAATATTTTGCGAAGACTTCCTACGAGTACTTGAATGTTCCTCCCAAATGGAAATGTGTCAATTTAGTACCCAGCGCCATCGGTGTGGCACAGGTCACAACTATGAACCCGTCACACATTTGGGCACTGTCGCACCCGTTGTTCCAGGGACAGCGCAACCCTTATTACTTTCCTGGCACTCTGGGAAGGAGCGCCGTGACTTACAATCACCAGGTTTCCTAGCCAGTAACGATTCTAGGACGTACTACAAGTAGCTAAGTAACCTTCCATTCGCCTCAATTTCTGGACCAATTTCCACACTACATGTCCGACATTCCCGACCCTCTCCATAATCAAAGTTACAAATCGAAAATCCTTGTGAAAATGTTCCCAGGAAAATCATTCTCAAAATTCCAGTTATTTTTTTTAGATCATTTGGCAGTGTGTCAAAACCCTGGTACCTAGTGAACATCAAAATTGCTGATAAATGAATGTTCATCCCCTAACAAATTGTATCTATAGGTATTGACCCATCCCCATTTCTGTAGGATTTCCCAGCCATCTTGGCGCGCCTGAAATCGCAGCCGCTGCTCACGGAAGAAGTCCACCCAGTCCTCTGTCCACGGGTTCCGCTGAAGCGTTTCCCCAATCCTCAGAGCGCAGCCCAGGGGGGCATAACCATTGGAAATAAGCCAGTTGTACGTGGAATATACCTCAGATATCTGTGGGGTAAAGTGTTCACACACACTTATATATATATATACATGTATATATATATGTATGTATATATAGTAATTGATGGTGTCCAAGTTAGTATCCTTTGGTAACTTGTTACATAGCCGTGGAAATTGGCAGGTTTATATACCAGGTACATCGTCGAACTAAATGGTGCCATGTTCCATCGCTATGTTCAATTACCAGAGGGTAAGAGGTACGACCAGCTATAACTGAGATGCACATCCAAGTGGGCCTCAGGACTTAGACAAACTGATCTAAATTGTATCAACCCATGCGTCGTGACATATCCACAACTCAACAGTTGGTCTAGTTACTAGTTTGTTCAACCAACTTATCATAACTATTCATAACTTATCTATGTGGTTGTTCACCTCTCTTGGCAAGTGGCCTATAAACTTTATAAACCTGATCCAATGAATCCAGACCAGTTGTGTTTATCAATGAACCAATGGAACCCAATGGACCCGGACCCAGCCGAAGCCAACCGCATCGAAGCCAAGCATCGTATTGTCCACCACAAAACCAAACTCCTTTGGCCCCTTCGCACCCTTCGCACGGTGCAAGTCTCCCATGGCCAGACCCAGCTGGAAATCGTCTCGTCTGCCACCGAGGTTCAAATATCTCAGTGGACGATTCGGACGATGCGAACGATCAGAGAAATGAATGGATAAGCTGTGGCAAGCTGTAGAAAATGAGATTAAACATGATTAAACCATGTAACTGACAGAACATCAAAAGTGGGGTGCAACATGGGGTTGATGGTTGATGGTGCATTGAGTTATAACTCCATCAAAAATTGGGAATGATCACCCAGCATTCCAATGAAAATCGCTCGATCCTCAGAAAATTCATCGCCCTACCGGGGATTGATGGATTACAACTAAAAACCATCGCCAGATTCCTGAAACTCCGTATCTCAACGAATCCATGAATCCATGAACTTTGGAAACCAGAATCTTTTTGGGCCAAAAATGGTTCGTTTACGCAATAAACAGGTTACTAAGTATCCATTGTTTGGAGGAAAAGAAAGTTGCAAAACAGCCCTGGATCGGCTCCAAACTCAGAAGTCTTTTTCCCAAAAAAAATGCGGCTCCAAAACGATGCCAAGCGACTCCAACACCAGGAAGGAACCTGAACCTGTTGTCGTGTTGTCGGGATATCCACCAGCAGCTTTGGTTTTCCTACTCTTGAGAGATATCCAACCATGTCTCGCTGCCATGTTTTATTGCCACAAAAATGTATGACAAAAATGTATTTTTTCTAAAATAGCTTGCTTCAACACCCCTGCTTTGTTGGTCAAACTCCAAAACAACACATGTGCTTAGCTCTAAATTGGGAGACTGGATGCTTGTTTTTCCAAAACGACCAAACTCAGTCAGTCCGAGATTTTGACCCAGGACAAGTTCTCCGTCCAGCAGCATTTTCCAAACCACAAAAGGTGACCTGAAATGACTTCAATGCTATAAACATTATAAACTTAGGCTAAATTTCAGGCACAGGCACAGATGCCAAATTCATCCAAATCCCCAAACCTGGGTAACCTGGAATCTCCCCTGGTTAATACGTGGCTTATGGTCGGAAAAAAAAATCAGAAACGCCCTCCGAGACAACTCCGCACCGTCGCGGCGGTTGCCCACGTGGAGCACTTTGGGTACCTTCAGCAGTTCCGTGGCGCAGCGTAAGGCCTCCAGACCTTGCGCTTCGCCCAAAAGCATCTGCGGCAGTGCGGGATCCATCGGGATCGCGGGGGATCCTTCAAAGGTGGGACTCCAACTTGGGTCTGTAGATCACTTGGTGGGGATAAACAACTGGGAAACACCACCTTGCAATATTTAAAATATGGGGATATGACAATGGAGAGACAATTTGTATACAATGGGAATATCACCATTTAGTAGGGATGTCATGGAATGTCCATGTAAAATCCCAGTCTGATATTTGGGGAATATATGGAAGATGTCACCAAGCAAAAAGGGAATATTTGATGGGATATATAACCAACCATATGATACCTGCCTTTCCGGTAGATGATGTGATGGGTACTGTAGGGGAAATGGCGAAATGGGATATGGGATATATGTCGCCCCCCGAAGAGTTGCTATGTTTCATGGGGAAAATATGGGAAAATAATGATCAACAATGAAATTTTGGGATCTCCGGTTTTTCATAGTTGAAGGCGGGGATATTTCTGGGATGATTTCCTGAAATGAACATCATGCTTGGTGAGGTTCGAGTTCGAATGGGGTCCCTGTCATTTGCGAAGGATCCCCAACTGAAATGTGAAATCCACATTTAACATGACGACTCAGGCAAATTCGGCAAATTGTCGCATCTCCAGCTGATACGTCTCTAATTTTGTTGTAGTGAGAATTCCCCCAAATGAATGGTGAGCTGTATCAGATTCCATCAGCATACTGCCATATGAAGTTGTTAAGGTTGCATATGGTTGTCGAGAGCGTGTCAAGAAAGCGAGGTGTCTGATTCGCCATTCTGTCTACAAAAAAAAAAATGCCACAGAAAAAAAAAAAACTTTGCAAGTGCGCAGCCCTGCTTCCCCTAGAGGCCCTAGAACCACCCCAACATGCTGGCGCCTTGCAGACATCCCGTGGTGAAGTTTTCACAAAAAAGTGGCAAGGATCCTTCCCATCCTTCGAAGTCTTCAAGCGGTAGAACCTGAGAAGAATCCGGCGGAATGCGTGAAAAAACCAACGTGGAAAAATGATGTTCATATCAGATGGGAATCATGATTCGGTCCAAAAACAAAGCATGATACTCCCATCCTCTAAATCACCGCGGAAAAATCACCCTTTTTCACCAGCCCGAAATGCGCCAGTTTTGGTGATTTCGTCGGCCAGCAAGGTGCCCCGGAAATTCCATGCCATGGGGAGATCCCCCAGACCGGATTTCTGTTGGACGCCCTACAATTTTGCCCCGAAATTACAAAGTTATTTCGGAACCACATGTATGTATTTATGTATGTATGTGTATGTGTTTATGTATGTATGTGTATGTATGTGTATGTATGTGTATGTATGTGTATGTATGTGTATGTATGTGTATGTATGTGTATGTATGTGTATGTATGTGTATGTATGTGTATGTATGTGTATGTATGTGTATGTATGTGTATGTATGTGTATGTATGTGTATGTATGTGTATGTATGTGTATGTATGTGTATGTATGTGTATGTATGTGTATGTATGTGTATGTATGTGTATGTATGTGTATGTATGTGTATGTATGTGTATATGTATGTATGTATGTGTATGTATGTGTATGTATGTGTATGTATGTGTATGTATGTGTATGTATGTGTATGTATGTGTATGTATGTGTATGTATGTGTATGTATGTGTATGTATGTGTATGTATGTATGTATGTATGTATGTGTATGTATGTGTATGTATGTGTATGTATGTGTATGTATGTGTATGTATGTGTATGTATGTGTATGTATGTGTATGTATGTGTATGTATGATGTATGTATGTATGTATGTGTATGTATGTATGTGTATGTATGTGTATGTATGTGTATGTATGTATGTATGTGTATGTATGTGTATGTATGTGTATGTATGTGTATGTATGTGTATGTATGTGTATGTATGTGTATGTATGTGTATGTATGTGTATGTATGTGTATGTATGTATGTATGTGTATGTATGTGTATGTATGTGTATGTATGTGTATGTATGTGTATGTATGTGTATGTATGTGTATGTATGTGTATGTATGTGTATGTATGTGTATGTATGTATGGTGTATGTATGTGTATGTATGTGTATGTATGTGTATGTATGTGTATGTATGTGTATGTATGTGTATGTATGTGTATGTATGTGTATGTATGTGTATGTATGTGTATGTATGTGTATGTATGTGTGTATGTGTATGTGTATGTATGTGTATGTACGTGTATGTATGTGTATGTATGTGTATGTATGTGTATGTATGTGTATGTATGTGTATGTATGTGTATGTATGTATGTGTATGTATGTGTATGTGTATGTATGTGTATGTATGTGTATGTATGTGTATGTATGTGTATGTATGTGTATGTATGTGTATGTATGTGTATGTATGTGTATGTATGTGTATGTATGTGTATGTATGTGTATGTGTATGTGTATGTATGTGTATGTATGTATGTATGTATGTATGTATGTATGTGTATGTATGTGTATGTATGTGTATGTATGTATGTGTATGTATGTGTATGTATGTATGTATGTATGTATATGTATGTATATGTATGTATATGTATGTATATGTATGTGTATGTGTATGTATGTGTATGTATGTGTATGTATGTGTATGTATGTGTATGTATGTATGTGTGTGTATGTGTATGTATGGGTATGTATGTGTATGTATGTGTATGTATGTTTGTGTATGTATGTATGTATGTATGTATGTTTGTGTATGTATGTATGTATGTATGTATGTATGTGTATGTATGTGTATGTATGTGTATGTATGTGTATGTATGTGTATGTATGTGTATGTATGTGTATGTATGTGTATGTATGTGTATGTATGTGTATGTATGTGTATGTATGTGTATGTATGTGTATGTATGTGTATGTATGTGTATGTATGTGTATGTATGTGTATGTATGTGTATGTATGTGTATGTATGTGTATGGATGTGTATGTATGTGTATGTATGTGTATGTATGTGTATGTATGTGTATGTATGTGTATGTATGTGTATGTATGTGTATGTATGTGTATGTATGGGTATGTATGTGTATGTATGTGTATGTATGTGTATGTATGTGTATGTATGTGTATGTATGTGTATGTATGTGTATGTATGTGTATGTATGTGTATGTATGTGTATGTATGTGTATGTATGTATGTGTATGTATGTGTATGTATGTGCATGTATGTGTATGTGTATGTATGTGTATGTATGTGTATGTATGTGTTTGTATGTGTATGTATGTGTATGTATGTTTATGTATGTGTATGTATGTGTATGTATGTGAATGTATGTGAATGTATGTGTATGTATGTGTATGTATGTGTATGTATGTGTGTGTGTATGTATGTGTATGTATGTGTATGTGTATGTATGTGTATGTATGTGTATGTATGTGTATGTATGTGTATGTATGTGTATGTATGTGTATGTATGTGTATGTATGTTTGTGTATGTATGTATGTGTATGTATGTATGTATGTATTTATGTATGTATGTATGTATGTATTTATGTATGTATGTATGTATGTATGCATGTATGCATGCATGTATGTATATATGTATGTTTATATGTATGTAGGTAGGTATGTTGGTATGTTGGTATTTGGCATTTGGTATGGTAATGCAATGAAATGTAACGTAACGTAACGTAATCTAATGTATGCGTGTATGTGTGTATGTATGTGTATATAATATATGTATATATATGCGTAAACAAGAGTGCGTAAACAAGGATTATGCAAAAAACACTGAAACTCTAAAAAACAGAAATGAACATATGAACGTGCATATAAACTGCAGACCGCGCAATTTGCGCAATCAAGGTGCGCAATGCGCGCGACCCAAGGTGCGCAATGTGCGCAGCCCAAGGTGCGCAATGTGATGCAATGTGCGGGGTCAAGGCGCGTAATGTGCACAACCAATGTGTTGCCAATTGCACAACAGGATGGCTCAGGATGACAACAAAACATTTTCATTTTAAGAACCAAATATGTTGCAACATATGGTTCAGCGGAAGTCGAGAGTGCGCTCCAAAAATCACTAAGTCATGAACATGTGGGAGTGAACATGTGACTGATGGGGCGGCTGGTTACCCATACAGGTGGAACGCACAGGTGGGCAAAGGGGTGAACAAACAGTGAACAGATGGAAAGGACACTCTGGCTCTGGTGCTTTTGTTAAGTCTGCCATTGATGGGCAACGGGGTTGGCAAGGGCGTGCCTCTACAACTGTGCAATCCTTCTCGGTCTTCAGAGACTTGCCCTTGAACTGGCTGAACATAGATTGAACACATACATATTTTGTGAATTATATCCGGGACACAACATGCTAGGGGCACCTTTGTAACCGGCCAACATCCTGCATAAATCCTTCAAGTTTCTATATTTATTGCATCAGCTTAGCTTGACGACCTTGTTATAATCTACTTCAGGGAAACTCAATGCTGACTTCTCTGAAGAACTTGTGGGAACTTATGTTCTTGCTTTCACGAGGTTCTCCTACGTTACCCAAAAGGAAAGAATGGAAAGGATACTTTGTCTACGTAAGGTTTTCGACAACAGGACATTTATATACTGTATTGGAAGGGATAATTTTCATCCTGAAGCTCTTGAAACGCTTCTGAAAAAGTTCTTGCTATCTTCATGTATATCTTGAGACGGAAGATCTTGAAAAAGAAGTTTGTGGAAAATTGTCTTGAAAGAGAAATCAAAAACGGATTGGACAAACATGATTCTGAAAGGAAAAGTCCTGACTCAGACAAAAAAGCATCCGAAAAAGGAAACGGGTAAAAATGCTGTTGCTGACAAAAAGGTTTCCAGGTAGCTGAATTTACGGCAAACATAGAGAAACATGTTTATCTTCACCTGCTGCAAAGGATCGTTCAAAGGACCGTTCTAAGTTTTGAGAAAGAACCAATTTGGTTGGAAAAGAAAAAAACATATCCTGAACACAATTGCTAAAGTAAAAAACTGTCCCTCATTGTAGGTTCTATTAACCAGCTGGATTATACCCACCCAGTTGCCGTTGTATATATGATTGTTTTTTGTGCTTGGGACATGATGCAGGAACAACACACCAACCATGTTTCGAACAAAAAAAGTAAACTAGGTTGAGTTCACGAGTTTGTCTACCAACAAGACGCGTTTGATGTAGAAACCCTTTCATTTTTTTTTGGGCCAATGTGAGTTCTACAAGCTGTTGATGTTCTCAAATTGGAGAAATTCTCTGTTTGAAGGCCCTCAAATTTTGGCACGCAGGTAAAGGTTTGCAACATCTTGAACTTGCTCATTTGAGAATTTCCCCCTCTGTGACAAATTTTGGCAGGTAACAGTTTTCATCACTTGAGATTCTTGAATGGGAGAAGCTGTTACTTGGAGAAACTCTTAATCTCTGAGGTGTCTGAACTTTGAGATAAGATAAGCTCAACGTTTCGAACTTTTGAAATTGGATGAGCTGTCACTTGCTGAATTGTCAACTTCCTGCAGCAGGCATATACGTTTTCAAGCGTTTATTTTTTAGGCTTGAGATGCTGCCAGTCTCTCAACACTTGACGTTTTGAAACGTTTAAACTGGAGAAGCTGTCAGGTTCTGGAAATTCTCAACTCTTTGCTGGTAGATGCTTTCAAGAGTTTGAACTTGTTAAGCTGGAGGGTCTGCCAAATGCTGAAGCGTGCATTTTTTTGACAAGTATAAGTTCGCATGTTTGGTTTTCTTGAAGTGCACAGGACAAGGACAAGCTTTGAATTTTGGACTGATTTCTTTTTCTAGCCAGGATGCATGTTCAAACAAACCTCTATAATAATCTTTGGAAATTGGAGGAGGCATCACTTTTGAAAATGCCTACCGGTTTGACATCGACAGCAAACATGTTTGACAAAGTGCGTTTGATGATGTGTTCTACATTTTCTATTTCTATTGGTGTTTCAATTTCTTCAAGTTGTTGTGTTTTCTCATTTCTGGAAAAGGGTTGATTGGAAATTGTCCGAAATGCTTAAACCTTCAGATGACTGGTCTGCCTACAAGGCTATATATATCAATGAAATACAAGAGCCAAATGCTTTCAAACTTTTGAGCTTGGAGGTACATTCAATTTTTGAAATCCGTCACTTGTTGGGAGGTATCAGAGCTCAAATTGTTGAACTTCACAAGCTGGAGAATCTGTCGATGTCTGTCTAAAGTGTCACCATTTGTGGCGTGTATAAGGGCTCATGTTTGTTCAAGCACCTTAGGCTGGAAAAATTATCAAATTACAAAAGCAGACAGTGTTTCACGGGCAAAGGCTGTCAAATTCTTGACTGCCTCATCTTTTGCCAGGTAAAAAACATTTTCCAAAATTGAAAAAACTCTTGAGTTCTGCGTCTCAACATTCAGTAGGGATGAATTTTCAACCCTTTGAATTGCTTTAGTTTGCGAAGATCTCAGCTGGAGCAACTCTCAGCTTTTGGGGTGCCTCAACTCTGGGAAGGGATAAGTTTCAAATTTGTGGGCTTCAGAAACTGGAGACAATTTCAGCGTCACAATTTTTGGCGGGTACAAGGCTTTAATTTTTTGAAACCCATGAAGCTGGAGAACCTCTCGAATTTTAAAATGTCTCAACTCTTGGCAGGCCTGTGTTTTCAGGTGTTTGAACTTCATTTACTGGAGAACTTTTCGATAAACTCCTGAAGGGTCTCCACTTTTCACAAGTATGAATTTTATGTTTACACTTCTTGACTTGCAGAAGTTTAGAGACAGTACGCGCATATCCTTCCCCTAGAGATTACGCAGCTGGATTGCACCTTCACATTTTTTCATTTTTTTCATGAAAATTCAATTCCCAAGGTAAGAAAAGTAAGGCTGCATGACATCAAGAGGGGAACGTGGTTCGTACCGTTCTAGCATATATCTGTTGGGTTGGAATGATATGAATTTTCAAGACTTAGGTGACCCCAGCCGCCCAAGCCTTGCCCACCACCACCTCTTGGTCTACTGACTATTGATAGCAGTTAGTAGTGACACGCCAAACTTTGGGAACTAGCAACGCTTTGTACGGCTTGGAAGCCAAAAAGGTTTCTGTAGTTGGACACGTGAGAAATCAAACTGGATGCAGTTTGTTTCATGAAAGAAACATTTCATTTTATCTGCCAAGATAGAAACATAGAATCTGAAAAGATCAGCGGCCTGCAAAGACATGACCTGAAAAGACTTTACCTGGCAAAGATACCACCCGAAAAAAAAAACATGGATGATCTGAACAAAACATGGGTGGACACGAAACTGCAAAATGATGGGGAGTATATACGTAAAAAGTAAACACACGCACAAAAAACGGATCTTAACCATGTTTTTCAGTTTGGAAGCAACAAACTAATGAACTTAGAAAAACTCATGTTAACTTAACACGTATGGCTTCAAAGGATATGCAAAGTTAAGTTCCAACACCCAGGGCTGTAATTCACTCTTATTTTGTAAATGTACCTAATGTTCAGTTCAAGCACGCAGTTTCAGTCAAATATGGCTGTCCCAAAACACCATTAAGTATTGCCTGCACATGTCTCAACGCATGTACTTGCAACCTGCCTGCTCGCACGTTCACGTGTATGCCAGCCTGTACGCTCACCTGCTCACCTGCGCGCTCACCTGTTCATTCACCTGCGCGTTTTCGCTTGCGCGTTAAGTTCCTCATTCCTGCAAATTTATAATGTTGGTAGGCATAAAATTCACTTCCCTAAGTTTGGACAAACACTCACCTGGATCAGAGAAGCTCTCAGTTCCAAAAGCATGTCGAGTTTTGGCAGGTGACAGTTTTTAAGTGATTGAGATTCTTGAATGGGAGAAGCTCTCACTGGAGAAGATCTTAATCTCTGAGGTGTCTGAACTTTGGGAGAAGTTAACTTCAACTTTTTGAACTTTTAAAATTGGATAAGCTGTCACTTGCTGAGTTATCAACTTCTGGCAGGCATATACGCTTTCAAAAGTTTTTTTAAGGCTTAAGATGCTGCCAGTCTCTCAGCACTTGGCAGGTATAAGTTTTTACATGTTGAAATCTTGGAGCTGGAGAAGCTGCCAGGTTCTGGAAATTTTCAACTCTTTGCTGGGAGATGCTTTCAAGAGTTTGAACTTGTTAAGTTGGAGAGGCTGTCAAATGCTGAAGCGTGCAATTTTTGACAAGTATAGTAAAAGTTTACATGTTTGGTTTTCTTGACGTGATCAGGACAAGCCTTGAATTCTGTCTGTTTCTTTTTCAAACCAGGAAGGTTTCACTTTTGGAACAAGTTAAGGAATTACATCGTTGGTAAACATATCTATGAACATGAATATTTTTTGAGGTTTTCTAGTTATTCGATGTTTTTCTGTGATCTTGATTGTTTCATGGCTTTAATACTGTCTGCTTTTCTACATATTGCATGTGTTTTTTGGAAATGCCTTCCTTCGCTGAATTGCCTAAATATTACTCTACCTTAAACAAACATAGACCCTGTATGCATATATCATACATTTAAACGTAGACCCTGGTGAGCATGTCCGCTGATCCGGGGTCTATCTTATCTTGTAAAAACATTAAAAAAACAAGCTGCAAGAATCCAACCTAGTGAAACACATGAGCCAATTGCGTTCGACTGTTTGAGCTTGGAGAGACTATCAAGGTGGGAAGTGTTTCAACTTTTCGGGAAGAAATTATCAATCCTCAACTTGCTGAACTTATTGAATAGGAGAAACGGGCGAACTGGCCAACTTTTGGCAGGAATAAGTTACGAGCATCAAGCATTCAAAAATAATGAGCTGGAGAAGTTTGTTTCTGAAGTCTCACTTTTTGACAGGTAATGACAGGTATAAACAGTGACATGTTCGGAAGTCTTTCTTTGATTTTGGAAACTCACAGCGTAGCTCAACTTTGGGCAGGTGTGCATCTTCAAACGTCCGAACTTGTTAACTTTAGAGAAGCTCTTCATTGGAGAAGATTTCAACTTGTAAAGTGTTTCAACGTTCGGGAAGGAACAAATCACTGTTTGAATCTCCTAAATTGGAAAAAACTCTTGAGTTCTGCGTCTCAACATTCAGTAGGGATGAATTTTCAACCCTTTGAATTGCTTTAGTTTGCGAAGATCTCAGTTGGAGAAACTCTCAGCTTTTGGGGTGCCTCAACTCTGGGAAGGGATAAGTTTCAAATTTGTGGGCTTCAGAAACTGGAGACAATTTCAGCGTCACAATTTTTGGCGGGTACAAAGCTTTAATTTTTTGAAACCCATGAAGCTGGAGAACCTCTCGAATTTTAAAATGTCTCAACTCTTGGCAGGCCTGTGTTTTCAGGTGTTTGAACTTCATTTCCTGGAGAACTTTTCGATAAACTCCTGAAGGGTCTCCACTTTTCACAAGTATGAATTTTATGTTTACACTTCTTGACTTGCAGAAGTTTAGAGACAGTACGCGCATATCCTTCCCCTAGAGATTACGCAGCTGGATTGCACCTTCACATTTTTTCATTTTTTCATGAAAATTCAATTCCCAAGGTAAGAAAAGTAAGGCTGCATGACATCAAGAGGGGAACGTGGTTCGTACCGTTCTAGTAAATACATGTTGGGTTGGAATGATATGAATTTTCAAGACTTAGGTGACCCCAGCCGCCCCAGCCTTGCCCACCACCACCTCTTGGTCTATTGACTATTGATAGCAGTTAGGAGTGACACACCAACCTTTGGGAACTAGCAACGGTATGTGCAGCTTGGAAGCCAAAAAAGGGTACTGCAGTTGGACACAAGAGAAATCAAACTGGATGCAATTTGTTACATGAAAGAAACATGTCATTGTATCTGCCAAGATAGAATCATAGAATCTGAAAAGATCAGCGACCTGAAAAGACTTTACCCAGCAAAGATACCATCTGAAAAGAAAAATTGTCCGGACATAGTCTGAAAAGCGATGATCTGAATAAAACATGCTTGAACACGAAGCTGCATGATGATGTGAAGTACTGGAAAGGAACAGTTTACCACGACACACTATGGAAGTTGAAACATTTTTTTATGTTTGTTCGTTTTGGATCAAGTGTACATACCCCGCGCTCTCTGCACCACTTGCGCGCTCACTAGCGCACTACCCTGCGCGCGCGCACCTCTACCCGCAGTACGTTGCCAAATCTTCAAAAAAAACTGTTTACGCATTCCTGGGGCCAACTAAATTAATATAGCCTTATCCATTGGCATGTTTGAAAATAAGGCCATTGTATGACCTTAAAAACGGAAAAGTAAAAGTGCGCACTTCTGCGGTGATCCGCGCACTCTGCTCGCGCACTTGCGCGTTCACTCCCGCACCCCACTTGCGCATTTGCACGTTCACCCGCGCGTTGGCACGTTCACTTTTCAAATCCTGCGCGCGCACATGCGCATTCCTCTTGCGCACCCCATTGCGCACCGCGCGTTTGCTACCCGCGCGCTCGCAGGCAAAATCTCAAAAAATTGTTTTTACGTACTTTCCAATCCAGCTATATTATATATATATATATATATATACATAATTTTATCTATCTACCACAAACCTCCTAGTAGTGAAATATGAGTGCAGCTAAACCAACTTGAGCAACTTTGCTTTTTGAGGGTTTCCAAAATGGTCATCCGTGACTTGGTGCCCCCATGCCTTAGAACCCCCATATGATGTGTTGTAGATCCCCCTGCCCTTCAGGCCTCCTTTACCGTCCAGTCACTGCGCCCAGTCGCCGCAAGACTTTCCTTCCAAGGCCTCTAGCTCCAGCACCACCCCAAGGCCAGACTCCTGGACATGTTGCACCACAAGGTAGTGCTCCAATTTTTCGGAATCGCGAAGTTGGTGAAAGTTACTTTCTTCCAGTGAGCCCGACCACATTCTATGTGACATCTTGCGCTCGCAATTGAAGTCCCGCAGTGCCCACTGAGATCTGGCGCTTGCAGTTGGGGTCCGGCAGCGCCCATCACTTAGATCTGGCGGTCGCAGTTGAGGCAGTGCCCACTGAGATCTGGCGCTTGCAGTTCGGGTCCGGCACACCCATCACTGAGATCTGGCGGTCGCAGTTGAGGCAATGCCTACTGAGATCTCGCGCTTGCAGTTGGGGCCCGGCAGCGCCCACCACTGAGATCTGGCGGTCGCAGTTGAGGCAATGCCCACTGAGATCTGGCGCTTGCAGTTCGGGTCCGGCAGCGCCCATCACTGAGATCTGGCGGTCGCAGTTGAGGCAATGCCTACTGAGATCTCGCGCTTGCAGTTGGGGCCCGGCAGCGCCCACCACTGAGATCTGGCGGTCGCAGTTGAGGCAATGCCCACTGAGATCTGGCGCTTGCAGTTCGGGTCCGGCAGCGCCCATCACTGAGATCTGGCGGTCGCAGTTGAGGCAATGCCTACTGAGATCTCGCGCTTGCAGTTGGGGCCCGGCAGCGCCGACCACTGAGATCTGGCGGTCGCAGTTGAGGCAATGCCTACTGAGATCTCGCGCTTGCAGTTGGGGTCCGGCAGCGCCCATCACTGAGATCTGGCGGTCGCAGTTGAGGCAGTGCCAACTGAAATCTGGCGCTTGCAGTTGGGGTCCGATTCCCTCCCCGTCCACCCTGTCGTCGCTGAAGTGTCGCTCCCTCCCAACGGAGCTCTCCCCATGCTATTTCCCATAGTTTCCCGTCCGTCCACCCTGTCGTCTCTGCCGCGTCGCGCCCTCCCAAGCAGAGCTCTCCCCAAGCTGTTTCCCACGGTTTCCCTTCCGTCCACCCTGTCGTCTCTGAAGTGTCGCTCCCTGCCAACAGAACTCTCCCCAAGCTATTTCCCACGGTTTCCCTTCCGTCCACCCTGTCGTCGCTTCCGTCTCGCTCCCTCCCAACACCCCAAGCTATTTCTCACGCTTTCCCGTCCGTCAACCCTGTCGTGTCTGCAGCCTCGCTCCCTCCCCAAGCTATTTCCCACAGCTTCCCGTCCGTCCACCCTGTCGTCCCCAAGCTATTTCCCACGGTTTCCCGTCAAATGTGCTTCGCGCCACACACTTTTTCGACATCTCAACTTCCAAAAGTGGTCCGAGCATGTGGTGCTTTTAACATTTTGACTTGGAAATGTGCTTCGCGCCACAACGGCGTGCACTTTTTCGACATCTCAACTTCCAAAAGTGGTCCGAGCATGTGGTGCTTTGTACATTTTGACTTGGAAATGTGCTTCGCGCAACAACGGCGTGCACTTTTTCGACATCGCAACTTCAAAAAGTGGTCCGAGCATGTGGTGCTTTGTACATTTTGATTTGGAAATGTGCTTCGCGCCACAACGGCGTGCAATTTTTCATCTTTCATCTGGCCAGATGGCTCCGCACCCGCTGCTTTAGCGAGCCTACTTTTCGATCCTCCGAAGCCACAAATCATTGGAAAAACACAGTGAATCGCGACTTTTCTACCTTTTCGCGCACCTGCATCTTCTTTCTTCTGACTCTTTCTCTTCTCTGATCTTCTCTCTTCTTCTCATCTCCTCTCTGACTCTTCCCACCTCTTCTTTTCCATCTGTCCATATTGCCGGAAGTTTGACTTCTAAACTTCCGTCAATAGTGATAATAATAATAATAATAATAATATATAATGACGACAATGATAATAATGATAAGATGGATAAGAATGATAATGATTATAGTAATGATAAATATTGGAAACCCTCATTTTACATCATTTTACCAGCTATGTAAGGGGGATGACAGTGCCCCCCATGCATTCCACCAAGCCCAATTTGGTATAGAGTGCTATCTATATAGCTATATCTACAAGTATGGTAAATAAGTATGGCAAATGATCATCTACAATTTGCAGTCTGTTATCTATATAGCTATATCATGCTATATCTATTATTGGTTGGTTTTCATGTGGGGAAGCCTCTATAACCAACCAGTGGGAACTTGGGACATAGCCACTTAGCCACTTTCGCCCCCCAAATCTTGGTTGACATTTCATCAAAGGGTTGACATTTCAACACCTGAAAAATCGACTGCTAAAGTAGTTAGACTACTTCTTGATCAAAAATGATTGGACTCTTCAAAATTGTCACTCTTCAACTGGCCTCATGAATCCGGGGCTACCGCATGCTACCGCGTCCTCAGCCCAACTGGAGACTTCTTCTTCAAAGGCTGCCGCCATGGCCGGGCCTGAGATCAAGTAATCTATAACCTGGCAATGGAAAATCCAACTGGTTTGTATTGGGAAAATCCCACTATGGACGGGTTTTAAAAGGGGTTCTACTGTCCTTTCTTTCTCCTTTGCTTTTCTATTGCCATGGTTGAAAAAACAAGTTCAGCCGCAAGGCTGAGTAGATGAGTAGGATGGGCAGTGGATCATGACAACTGGTGAGAAATGTTATTCTTGAAGGTCATCATGTCCCTACTTTTTTGATGGTTAGATTCTCAGTTTTTGCAATTGCTGTGCCTGCTATGGGTAGAAGATTCTACATTAAAGAAAAAACATTGGAATTCCCAAAGAACCGATTTGTCTTCACTGACCTGCCGATCAAAACTGCCGTGTTGAGTAATTAGTGGAATCCCCAGGCTGTTGAATATTCTCATTCGCACAATCTTACGGTGGGTAGTTCTTCGATTAAACCATCACTTTGAAGAGATTTCAATCGCAAGATGACCTGCCTCTTTGTCTCAATGGCCATGTCACGGTGAATCCAAGATACTATATAGCCAAGGTTGACCCAGATGTTCGGGGCGTTCTAATATTAGATACCTCCCAGAACCCCGGGTTTGGTATTAGCTCTATCTATTTTCCATTGGAAAAACCATCTAAAGCCTGTTCATCATGATTGTGACCATTACTTAAATGATTATGGTTATTGACGTTCCAACTGTTATCATGACGATTGTCACCCTCCAGCAAATCCACGCAGATATGGAAAACCCATCATGAATTGAATGTAGACCCTTTCCCTTGGGAAAAACAACCTGGGTTTTACACGTCGGTCAATTTGCTGGAGGGTATACGAAGTTCCCATTAGCTCCTCATTTAGTGTTGGATGATCCTATTCCCATTATTTTCCTATCTCTCGATTCCTCCCGTCTTTGGCTCCCAAGTATGGTTCTTGAGGTTCCAAGGACCATGATAACGATATGTATATATGCGTATGGGGCCACATATTGCTCCATCCAGTTCCTTGGGTACCCCAATGCCATGACCTATGATTCATATTTGGTTGTCATCCAAGTAATATTACCATGATGTCTGGGATTCTTCCCATGCTGGGACGGCAAGTCCACCAAGTCGCGCTGGGCCTTGGCACTGCGCCACCAGCGCTTTTTCAGGACAGCAAAGGGCAGCCTCGGGAGGTAAACTAACAGTTTGCTATTGAAGCCATGGCCCATAGAAATAGTTGATTTACCATGATTTACCCATTAAAAGTGGTGGTTTTCCATAGGGATGTTAGTTTACCAGACAGTAGGGGGAAGATATGATGGCTTCAGCCTGGAGCATCCCCAAGTGTCCATGACGATTGGATGATGGATATGTATGTATATATATATATACATATACATATATGTACTGTATGTGTATATATATATATATGTATGTATATGTAGATGTACATGTAGATGTAGATGTAGACGTCTATGTCTATGTATATGTATATGTACATGTATATGTAAATATAGACATGTATATTTAGACATATACATATATGTATAGACATATATATATATATATACATATATATATATACATATGTTTTTAGACATACATATATATATACTGTGTATATATATATACATATATACTGTATATACATGCATATGTATATTATATCTGAACATATATGACCCCACTAAAAGCTATATACACGGGTACATAGCCTCGGCACATGGGTAGATAGTTCCTGGTCCATCCTTCATGTTTGAAGGGTTTCTAAAAGAGTAGTCAGTCAGTGGTTGCAGAGGGTTACAGTAATGACATGGTGGACATACTATCTTCAGCACGAAACAAACCATCAGCTTGAACTACCTATTTTTTTGGATGTAGCCAGATCTGGACTGGCAAACCAACATCATATATATATATAATATGCATATAAATATTAAATATATATGCACTGTAATGTGAAACTACCGCAAAGCCCACCAAATCACGCTCTCCAAATGGGATACCCCATGATTTCATCCTGGTGAGTCTTGGCAGCTTTGGATGCTTTTAAGCACCTAATGACATTGTCAAGTTGCTGAGGAAACCCCATATTTTTGTAGGGTAAAAGCCTATGGTTTCCTCTAAATGATATGCTTTATCAACTGCCGAGGATGGTTGCACGTTTTGTTGGACCAAACCCCATCCAGCAAATCTTAGTGTTGGACTGCCCAGATTCATTTTTGATCCAAATCCACCATCCATGGTTTACAAGTCCAACTGGCGGAAAAAAAAAAAAAACTTTTTGTTGCTGAAATATCCGTACTGAATTGCTTGTTTTGTTGAGTAACATCCATAATTCTTTGCTGTTGAAGTACCAGTTTGCTGGTCAACCCAGACCTTTTTCGATGAGCTAAAAAGATGTTCGCTGAGTCCTCGGGTTTCCCCATAGATTTTCCACAATGTTAGTTTAGCCTGGGGTGAGTCACCATTAAATTAAAATCCCAGTAAAATCCCATTAAATCCAATTATATCCCATTCAATCCCCTTAAACCATAGGAATTTCCACATCGTTCTGTTGGCTAATCCTCCATGTCTGCCATTTTTGCATCCCCAGGCACACAAAAGCCGGCAGCACCGCGCAGCAAGCTGCCGCCAGCAGCACCCGCACGTGGCGGAAGACCATGGATCATCCAACACAAATTTGGATATACCCAGTTAGATAGATGCATGGATGGATGGATGGATGGATGGATGGATGTATACAGGATGGATGGATGGATGGATGGATAGCTAGCTAGCTAGCTAGATAGATAAGCAGGTAGGTAGGTAGGTAGGTAGGTAGATAGGTAGATAGGTAGATATGTAGACATATATATATATATGCTGTATAGTTTTATATATGATGTCAACTCAGGAATTTTATTTATATACCCCTGGGCTGTTCAATTGGGTGGCACCATTTTAGTAGCAAATGAACTCACTATTTGGGGGTAATCCCAATTCATCAACCAAGGTTTATTCAAACACCATTTGCCTATTGTTTACAACGGGCTGATTCTGCTTCAGTGGGAAATCATCCCAACTCAGGCACCTGCCTGGGTGTTAGACTATGATGTTTTTGGCATTTATTGGTGACTTTATTTACCAATTGGATGTTGGTCAACGGATTTCCCAGCTCGACATGGATGTAGCCAGAAGCCTTGCTAGTTGATCCCAGCTCGCAGGGTCAACAACTTGAGTTGTGACGTCACGCAGAACTTGTCACGTCCGAAACACATGGCAGATCCCCTGAGAATATGGATATCGCCGCTCAAAAATAGCTAAAACACTTTGTCAACAAAATTTGGGAATATTCAGTATCTAAAAACCCAATACGGGGATAAACAATGTTGACCTGTACCCAAGATTTTTCTCCGAATTCAAGATAGTGGCCATTTTGGATCAAAGCCACACACACACACCTCAATAAAAGTTAACATGAAACCCACAAGATTGACACTTCCGAAAGGAAAAACAAATACTCGATAAATAGTTCCCATAGAATACTCAGACAAGAATCATGATCGAACCATTCGTGGAGGACATCGTTGATCTCCCAGCTGCTCGGTCTAAGACAAGGCAGCGTCACCAAACGGAACTGTTGTCAGTGTCCTGTTCAGGAAAATTGGCGGTCTTCTGCCATGTGATCTACACATCCCAAAAAATAATCAAAAATAGACATCGATATAGATATACATATAATCACACGATATATATATATATATACATATACATATACATATATATATATATGTATATATATATATAGAGGAGCGTGAAGTCAGTCTCAACCCCATCCACCCCAGAAGTGCCACGGCTAGCCATGGTCATCCACTCTTGGAGTGTCCTTGATGCTGGAAACCAGATTGGCGACCAACACAGGATACAAGCCATGCACCTCAGGTGGCCAGTCGGGAAGAAAGAGATAGCAGTATCTGGGGATTGGTGGGACATGTATGGTCAGCAAAAACTGAAAATCAATGAACCCATGAAATGCACAAGAAGACCTAGCTTCAGTGGCATATCAAACAGCTCTAAATCAGAGATAGCTAAGAATTGACTCGACCAAACCAACCGTTCACCTCACGCTTTAATCAGAGACTAGCTCACCGACGATCTCCTGTAACTGTTGATGGCCATGCTTTGACCCATTAGCAACTATTCAATAACCCTGGTTTGAGTAAGTCCTCTCCGTGGACTTACCTCGCAAAACATGAGTTACCACCCTGGTTAGCCAGGTGCTACCGATGATCCTCAAATCCTTCTAGAAAAGAGCTACAGAACTAGAGTTTCCATGTCATTGGCAGTCTCTCTGGATACACAAAAAAATCTATCAATGATATCCCCAATCTAATAGATCGAGTTGGCTGGGTTTGGCGTGCGGCCATGACGTACCTTCAATGACTTTACAGGGTTCAGATTCAATTTCATTCAAATGATTCATAGACATCTTCCACATATATCTCAAGTCTAGGTATATTGTATGGCATGTGGGAAGTTCTCGAAATCGGGGCCCTGAAACCAGCTTTTTTTTTTGATCATTGTTCGGACGGAGTCCCATTTAGGGGTCCCCAATTTGTTGAAACGCTATATTTCTTCAGATCATTTCAGATCTATTGGGGGGTTCTTACAATTCGGGACCCTTGGAAGAACAGAGTAGAACTCCATTTTCCAGAGGAAAATAGCCACATGTTTCATAGTTAAACCACGTTTTCCATTAACCACATCTTCCCCCATGAAAATCGACATTTTTGGGGAAATCCCACTGTCATGTCCCGTCTCGATTGATGCACCTCGCTGTTCATCAACCAATCTCCCAGAAAGGGCCTTGGGCCATTGGGAAATCAGATAAACTTATATTTTGTATCATAATTATATCCATACAGATACATTTATGTATATATATATTATATTATATTATATTAAACATATATTATACTATATTGTATGTGTATATATATATACTGTTGGATACTATGTCAAATTTTGGGGATTCCTCTTTTGTTGGCCGTGGATCTTTTCATGAATCCCAAGTTGGGATTGTTCGTTTGCCCAAACGTCGAATGTATCGAAAGTGTGGATCGGTTCCACCAGGATGTCCACATCCACTTACGCTCTGCTCATTCAACAGTTTGCGAACTGGAAAATTGCCATTCTTCAAGGGTAAATCATGGTAAATCATCTAATAAATGGACCGTCCACAGCAAACTGTCAAATTAGCGGTATCGACTGCTCAGTGGTGATAGTAGCTCCCAAATTCCTGTGGATATCTCGATGGTCATTGAGTTTGACCGCACTTGTCGTCCCTAAGACTCATGCGGTAATCCTGCTAGTGCAAATACTCAACCATACCCACTTGGGGTCTAAGCTTTTAGATTGTTGGCTCCCAGTCCTTGAATTTCCCATGAATGGTGCGCACTTCAATGATGCCCCGGTGCCCCTACAGAGTCAGCACGGCAACGAGACAGTAGGCGCTATGCCTCAGAGAGCTACGGTAAGGAGCCAGGGGCCCAGGGGGGTATCCATATCCCCTTTAAATATGGAGCCGCTCGGAGCTATGAATCGTAGCTGTAGATATGGGATACCAGTTATGATCCATGGATCATAACTGGTTAGGAAGTGAGGTTAGTTCACCTACAAATGGGATAACCCACGAAACAGGGACTTACTAAGCAGGGCTATTGACCAGTTACTAAGAGGGATGATCCTCCAAGTATCCCATGGCATATCTAGGACAAAGTTTCCACCTGTAGGGCACATATATATATATATATACGTATATAAATACACACATAGAGAGAGGTGCTGGCGATTCTGAACTTGCAAACTGGCCAATTTTGGTGTACCCAATTATCACCAAAAAAATGTTTATCTTCAAATAGTGTATCCAAAATCTGGTTGAACATCGATGTTCAACTGCCATTTTTTTTAAATTTTGGGCGAGTATCCGTTGAGAGCACCAAAATGCGTGAAGAGTTCCAGTCTGCAATGCCGAATACCCTCCTCTGATTAAAGAAACTTGGTACTGAAAAATGTCTTTCGAGACGTGCCTTATTATTGCTATCTCTTTATAGATGATCTTCCAGAAAATCTCCCAGCCATGAAGACTGGAGGCTAGGCTCCCTAAATGGGACCTTAATTCACTGGCCCAGTTTCTCATCGCAGAATGGCTGTATAGAGTAGTGATTAATGACTCATGATTCATGATTAATGATTATATAATGATTAATTACATCAACATAAATCAACATATATCAACATAAACCGTGCAACTCCCAAGCACCTAGGGTCCCCTGGCACAATGAGCGAAGTCATCACAAACCACGTGAGAAAGGCAGTGGTGCCTGGTACCCCAAAACAACCTGGTACCGACACCAAGGTCCGCTTTGCTGGAGAAAGGCATTTTGGGGGAAATGGTATCTTCAAGTTTCGTGAAATACCCCACAGCCCTTCATCTACTAAAACGGCTGTTGCTTCTCGACTCTTCATTCCTCCTTCGTATGCTCTTCTTTTTACGATGCCGTCCGGATCATTGGGAAATCATACCGTGCAGTGTGTCCCAGATTCGGGAAGCAGGATGATTTCACTTGCAAAAGCAGATTGTTCAAGGGTGAAAAAACCATTCCCTCCTGAATGAATCATAGCACATCTGAATACACACACACACACCCGAAAAACTGCTCAAACTCGGTCGAAAAACTGACAAAGACGAGCGCCAGTTATGTCCCCTTTGGATCCCTTTGGTCATTCAGTCGATGTTCAATAGGCAAATCATCGACCTTGGCAATCTTCTAAACAAAGTGAAATGGGTATGGGTCAAAATTGAGTATCCCAGTTATTCGATGGTTAATACTGAACATAGACTTAAACCTGTGGTCTCTGAGGTCCTTAATTTTGACCCATACCCAAATGACCAGTTATGCAACTGCCATTTTTACAGCAACCCACCGCCTGCCCTGTTCTCCAGTGCGGCGAAGCGCCGCCAGCCTGAAGCCAGGCCCTGGTTATTGAGCTATGCCAATAAGTGATAGTCGGATGATTATATATTGTTATTGATTATTGCTATTGATTGATGTTCTATTAGTGCAAAACATATGATTCTCATTGTTGTTATATCATATAACGCATCAAACTTAGATCATAGGTCCCAATAGTATTCAATATCAATCGCTATGATTGGAAGTGGAATCCGTCCATAGTAATTCACCAAATGATCTGGTCAAGGTTGATTTTGTGCCCAACTTTCATGATTTCATTTGGGGCCTGTATCAGTAATGCTGCCATCCAAGGATAGCTTGGAATGCATTGTCCAATGGAAGTGCACAACAATAACTGGTCGCACCAAGTTGGGGTTTCACTCACACATCAAACAGGGTAGGTTTAAAGTTTAAAGTCATAAATGAGGAGCAAAACCTCCGACGGGTGTTTTGCACAAAAACAAAGGGAGTTTAAACTTTGTCCTTTCGGACTGGGAGGCAGTTTGGAAAATTTACAGGATGCCGCAGAGCTGACACCGAAACTAAATCAACTCCCAGGTCCAAAGACTGTTTTGAATAGAGTCCTTAGCAACCCGACCCAGAATTTTGATGCTACTGTTCGATCTTTGTTGCGGAACACCTTCAGGAATAGTTCGGCATATCCCTCCAGTGTCATCAATCCAGCGCAGGGATCCC